AAAATCCTATGTGAAACAGCTTTCTTTATTCATATTCAACAAATATTGACTGAGCACCTTTTACCCAGCAGGCTCCATGCTAGGCCCTGGGGCTAGTGACCTGGCCCTCACCCTCATAGAGCTCACAGTCTGCTGGGAAACAGCCATTATACAAGCAGATACATTTAAATACCAGGAGTGTGAAGGTGCAGAGAATAGAATGCATCATAGGGACACATAGCTGGGGCCTTAAGTAGGGGGGTCCCTGAGGAAACAATGTTTAATCTGACATTAATCCTTGAGATATCATATTTTCTTGTGCAAATAATAGCTTGTTTTTATTGATACATAATTGTGGTTTCTCATTAATGTTATAGAACCCACTTGGACCTTTGTGTATTATATATAGCCACCCAAGAATGATCTCAAAATATCCAATGCCTGGTAAGGCAAGACACACAGCAGTTAGAATAGAAGCTAACCATAGTGCTGGGGCAGGGTCCTGGAGGCTGCCTGTTGTGCTGTGCATTAATTGCTTGATATTGGGGAGGTCTGGGGGTCCTGTGTGAGGGGCTACAGTGGAGGACAACCACTAGGGGACTCAGGACCACAGCCATGTCCCAACCACTATAGCTCACGTGTACACATTGGTTGCATATCTGTCTATGTATACTGGGCTTCTCTATTGCAATAGTCTAGATTAGAATCAAACTTGACAGGAAAAAAATCCCTTATTATTTCAGACTATCTTATTGTGCAAAACCAATCACTAAGAAAAACTTAAAATATTTTATGAGACTGGGAAGTTGCTAGTTTTAAAAAGCATTAGTTTTTTTTATTATTTTGTTGTTTATTTTTTGTTTATTGCAGTAACATTGGTTTATAACATTGTATAAATTTCAGGTGTACATCATTATACTTCTATTTCTGCATAGATTACATCATGTTCACCACCCAAATACTAATTACAACCCATCACCTCACACATGTGCTGAATTATCCCTTTCGCCCTCCTCCCTCCCCCCTTCCCCTCTGGCAACCACCAATCCAATCTCTGTCTCTATGTGTTTGTTTATTGTTGTTATTATCTACTACTTAATGAAGGAAATCATACGGTATTTGACCTTCTCCCTCTGACTTATTTCACTTTGCATAATACCCTCAATGTCCATCCATGTTGTCACAAATGGCTGGATTTCATCGTTTCTTATGGCTGAGTAGTATTCCATTGTGTATATATACCACATGTTCTTTATCCATTCGTCCCTTGATGGGCACTTAGGTTGCTTCCAAGTCTTGGCTATTGTGAATAACACTGCAATGAACACAGGGGTGCATGTATCTTTACGCCTTGGTGTTTTCAAGTTCTTTGGATAAATACCCAGCAGTGGAATAACTGGATCATATGGTAGTTCTATCCTTGATTTTTTGAGGAATCTCCATACTGTTTTCCATAGTGGCTGCACCAGTTTGCACTCCCACCAGCAGTGTATGAGAGTTCCCTTCTCTCCACATCCTCTCCAACACATGTTGTTTCCTGTCTTGTTAATTATAGCCATTCTGACCGGCGTGAGGTGATATCTCATTGTAGTTTTGATTTGCATTTCCCTGATAGTTAATGATTTTGAACATCTTTTCATGTGTCTGTTGGCCATCTGTATATCTTCTTTGGAGAAATGTCTGTTCAGGTCTTTTGCCCATTTTTGAATTGGGTTATTAGTTTTTTCATTGTTGAGATGCATGAGTTCTTTATATATTTTGGATATTAACTCCTAATCAGATGTATGGTTTGCAAATATCTTCTCCCAATTGTTAGGTTGTCTTTTCGTTTTGTTGATGGTTTCCTTTGCTGTGCAGAAGCTTTTTAGTTTGATGTAGTCCCATTTGTTTATTTTTTCTATTATTTCTCTTGCCCAGTCAGACATGGTGACAAAGCATTAATTTTAATGAGTGTTAAGAACTAGCATTTTTCTATATTGTGCTAAACATAAAGTGTGACAACATTAAGCTCACTTAATTTATTTTTCTTAAGAACAAATACAATAAAATTTAAAGAATTTCAATAATTTCTAAATTTACACAGTTTAAGAATATATTGAATCTTTGGTCTACAATTTCATGTGATAAGTAAAGTTCAAATACCTCTTTCAATGTAAGAAAAAGGACGATGTTTTAGCATAAGGTTAAATGCAATACTGAATTCACAAAGAACCAGCAACTGGCTAGTACAAAAAGAATTATGTTATTGCTTAAAAGGCAAACATAAATCTATCTCCAGCAAAAGAGAACAATTATATTAATTGAGCTTGGAGGTACTATTATATTGTCAGGTATAATAATCTGTTTAAATGAGGCCTTCATTTTTAATCTGGTGAAATATGATGAGGCTGGCTCCCTGGTGCCAATGCAAGCTTTGCAAAATCCAAACACGGAATACTTAGGAAATGCAAATCTTGTCCTGTATTTACTGTATACTAAAATCTTATAGCCAAGGCAGAAATGCTTACATGAATAACTGATTTGGATTAAACACTGTAAATTCATGAATTTACTTTTGTTCTACCCTGTAGATGTAAATATTAGTGGACCTTCCCTCAATTCTAACCGAAATGTGTTTACTTCTCCCTGGCTCTCTTCATTTGAACATCTCAAATAGTTACAAATATTTATCTGATAACATATTATAACCGCATCAAATACAATCACTCTAAGAAAAGGCGAAAGGGAAAATTGTTTTTCATTGACTTTAATCTCAAGTTGTGACACAGTTTGTGCTAAAAGGTGACCTCTGAATCTCTTACATCCTCGTATGTCTTTCACCTAAAAAAGAACAGGTTTTTTGTATCATTTGATAAGAACATTATTAAATTTGTTGAGATTCATTTATGAGCATCGCTTTGGTGAGAGTTAATTAAGAGATGTATGTCACAGATATTCACGTCTGAGCTCATGTGTCTGCAGGTCAAAGACTAGTTCAAAACAAAGGAAACTCACACTGCACTTCCAAGTGACTGCCCTTTCTAAAAGCCCAGAGGAAAGTGCCGTGTATTGGGATAAGCCATGGCCAAGAGTCGCTTCCAGGCCTTGCAAGAGCTCTTCTGACACCCTGAATATATTAACAGAGAAGTTGTTGGGTCCTCATATTTTTTCAGTAAGCCTCCATTTGGCAGGCATATTTTAATTAAGTAGATCGTTTCAATTAAACCTGCATGCTACAAAAATGACCCCAACTCTAACAGCTTTGCAAGTCTCAGTATATTTGTAGGTATTTTCCCCCCCATTTACTAAGAGTGAGGAAAAATATGTCCTTTGGATGGAGCATCTTACATTTGTTAGAGGCTACTGAGGCAGCATTGTGGAGGGGACCCGCAGGGGCTTTGGGATCTGGATCTGGGAGATGTGGATTCCTGCTCCACCATCTACTAGTTGAATAATCTAAATAAGCTACTTAACCTCTCAGAGTTTCCTTACCTGTATAATGGGGAAAATGACACTTCCTTGTAGGGTCGTTGGGAGAATTAGGAATAATCTATGCACATGTGGGGCACATAGTAAGCTCTCAATAAATAGTAGCCTTTGATTTTTGTTTGTTTTTGTGTTTTGTTTGGGTTGCTTTGTGGTGGTGATGGTGGTGATGGTTGTTGTTTTGCCTGCCCTTCACCAGCAGGATCTCCCCAAACACCAGTGCTGTGGTAGCCTAGACCCTTGCCCTTGGCCTACACCAGTAGTGCTCCACAGCGGGTGACTTCGCCCCCAAGGGGACATTTGGCACTGTCTGGAGACACATCTGGTTGTCACAACTGAGGGAGGTGGAGGGAGAGGTGCTCCTGGCGTCTAGTGTAGAGGGCCAGGGATGCTGCTAAACATCCTATAATGCACAGGACAGCCCTCCCTCCCCTAACTGGGAATTATCCAGCCCAAAATGGCAACAGTGCTGAGGTTAAGAAATCCTGGCCTACACAATAAGCATAATAAATTCTAGAGGCAGGGAAACCATAGCAACAGTCAGAATATTCCTCATACATTTCAATCCATGAAGGGAGTGAAGGACAGTCTTAGAAGTAAGCATAAAATAAGTACAAATAACTATTGAACAGGCTGCCTAGTAGGTGGGTGTGGGTGGGTGTGTTTGTGATTTATTTAGAGTTTGTCTTTTTTTTTTCTTGACGGTACACCCATTCTTGCTTCAGATATATATAGTGTGATGAAGTCAATGTTCTGCACCACCAGTCTGGAATAAATGGTAATTTGCCCTGTACAAAGGGGGCTTTCAGGAATGCCATAAATCTTCAATCTCATGAATTAAAAATCTTGATATGGGTGTGTACATATCTAAAACCTGAGCAGATTAGTACACTTCATACTTTAGTGTATAAGAAAGCTTAAAAGGTTTACTGTATAAAAAGGTTTATTATACATACTTCAGTGCATAAAATTTTTATTAAAAAACAAAAGAGAAAGAATCTGTGATATAATCCAAACAGGAACTGGACTAATGTTAACTTCGTTTTGGAGGCTACGCCATGCAAACTAACAGTATAAACCACTTTAGGGTTTTGTGGACCCTTATGACTTTTGAAATACTTATAGACATTGAATGCAACTGATCTGCTATTTCAAGTCACACTTATTCAAGCTGGTCCACCCACCTCAATGACTTTTATTAGTGTACTATGAGTTTTAAAATAAAAACCTCATTTATATGTTAAAAAATCATCACCACTAATTCAGAAAGTCTTGTTCCCTTTTGAACCCAAGTTAATGAGACCATCTAACTCTAATATATTTTGGTTTCTCACGTGAGGAATCATATTTTCAAACCACAGCAAGAAACAAAAAGCCAACCCAGGGAATCTCTGGGTAGAAAGAGGTAAAAAATGGAGAAAAGGAATAAAGTCTAGTAGGAATCAGTATTCAATTCTTTCCCCAAATTTCTTGAACAAACAGTGTATGTATAGTTTTCCCGCTCTCTCAGGGTGTAAAAAATGCCAGAAAATATACTTAATTTATAATGAGGTAATAATTTGATGTATTTTTATGCTATTTAATTAATTTATTTGAAATAGGATTTTTGAAAATCATTTATAGGGGTAAATGTATAATCCTGTAAATAGAAATGATAGAGATCATTTGAACTATTGAGAACCTGCATTTTTTACTTAATTAAAAAAATATATCAAAAAGGATTGGTACTACTGAAACACTGTGTAACCATCCCAGGAAAGAAAGAGACTCTGGCCCTCAGGTCACAGGCGTGTAACGAATGCCAACTGGCAGTAAAGAAAAACTCAATCTCTGTGATAATGTATTAAACAACAAAAAAGATTTGACAGCATAGGCAAGTCTGTGGTTGAGAAATCAGGTTTCAAGTCAGAAAAGGCAACAGTAAAGACACCCAAATTCTGTTCTGTGCTTAGTTTCATAGGAACAGAAGGGGATTCAAGGCTGAGTATGAAAAGAATCCTGAGTTTAAGTTTTTGGTAGTCTAGGCTTTTACACATAGTGACAGAATTTGGTGTGTCTGAGTTCCCAGAAACCAAATTAATGATTCCTATAAAGCTACAGCATGGCCTCAGCCTCTGCTGAAGAGGAATGATTGACATCTACAAGGTTGTAAAGAATGTTATTGACAAGGTGAACAAGAAAAACCTTGAAAGAGGTGAGTACAAGTCAAATGAAGGGCGCTTTTTTAAACAGGAGGCTACAAAGTTAAGAATCTCATCAGCTCAGTAAAAATGGAAAATGTACGTAATTTCTTTTTCATGCTGGTGAATTCATGGATTATAGATACAAAATGAATTTGAGAGAAAACTGAGATAAGTGGGAGATTGTCTTCCAAGTTAAAATGAAGGAGGAGAAGCATCCACCCGCTGTCAGAGGCAAACAGGCAAAGGGCCTGGTTGTGGGCACATGGAGGTGGACTCCTGTGGCACTCCCGTGTCCAACAAGCATTAATTCTGCCCCTTCCATGTGGCAGGCGCCAGGCTACATGCACTACAAAGGCAGTAACACAATCCCTGCCTCAAGCAGGTAATAGGCTAGTGGGAGACTGGACAAGTAAACCAATAATTAGAATCATGGACATGCTCCATTCTGCAAATATTTCCTTGAGTTCTTGATGAGGTCCTGCATCCTATTTCCATCTCGTATTCACCCAACTCAGAGTATAAGAGCTACTTGCATTGAAAATGTCTTTCTTCAGGAATAGCTGAGGTTTAGATAAATCTTTGTAACTATGAAAAAGCCTGAAATCCTTTAGTTCTAACTCTTTGAGGAGGCTGTACCAGAACCGCACAACACTGCTGTCGCTGCCACTGACCTCGAACCCAGGCCAGTGGAGATGGATCTCAAAGATGAGCTGTCCAATTTGTTCAAGAACATCTTCCAGAATAAGATTTTCCAAAACTTTCCATTCTGCACTTTCTAGATCTGCTTTGAGAACATCAATCTGTAACAAAATGATGAAATGAGATTAGCAGATTCAATAAACGTTGTTAAAAATACCATCTTGATATCAGGAGCATCACTGTATAACTACCTCCCAAGAAAGAATTTTTCAAATTTTAGAGTTACAGGTCTTTTTCAAATGGCCACTTATGACATGAGTTTCTAACCTCACTCCACACCAAATGTTAATATACAAATAATGAAATTCCAGTCGAAATCATAATGGACCCTCTTACTTTCTGCCCAACGGGAATGGATGCTGGGGAAGGAGAGGATGGAGTGTGTATATTACAGAGCTCCGTGCCCACAGCCTCTCCCCAGCCACCTGTACACTGCTCAAAGGAAGCCCACTATGTCCTGACAGAATGGTGGCCTGCAGGGAAAGACTGACAGAAGGTCACTGCCTGCAAGGACCATCTCATAAACCTTACTCCCCTTCAACTTTATCAGGACTGGAAGCCAGGGAAAGAGTTCTCAGGTATCCGAATATTGGACTTGTAAAAAAATTATTATTATTATTATTATTATTATGCCATGAATTCTTTAAAAAGTATTTACCATCACTGCATTCTAACGAAAAAAAAGCAACATCATTCTCTGTTCATTTAATGAATACAAGTTTACAAGTTCACATTCCAGATGAGATGAAATATAGGAAGAAGAGCAGGATGGGAGAGATTTTGTAATTAATTAAGTTATGAGAATCAGCTCTTTTTTGCTGGCTTTGCACAAAATCCATTAGAATAACAGAACCCTAAATACCTCCAGAAAGCAATGAAAGCTAATTACTTACCGAGTAGTTACATGCGCCTGGCACCCTGCTAAGTGCTTCACCTTGCAATATCCATTTACTCCTCTCAACAATTCTGCAAGGGTGATTCTGTTAGTATCCCCATTTAAAGTTTAGGAAACCACACTCAGAGAGTAACCCATCCCCAGTCACACAGCTGGAGAGACAGTAGTGAAATTTGAACTACATG